TAAATCATTGTGAATTTTTTCATTGAATTGGTAATAAAAATATCAAATAATTATTTTTTTATTAGATCTTATGATTGCGTAGTCATTTTGAATATTGTGCTAATTAAATTGTTACACGATTGCTATGTAATTTAAAGAATAGATGAGACTGAAATTTTATTACCCTTTTGTATATTTTACCACACATAATGAAATTCTAATTTATAATAATGATTTTCGTGATACAACGTAGATTGTAGATTGTAGATTCCAAGGGATTCGAGTGGGACAGGAGAATCCCCCATCGTCAGCGTACCCCAAGACACGCGCCCCGGAGCCCCTGAGAGCAGCGATTAGATCATCCACTACAATGGACCACAGGAGGGGTGAAAGAACCCCGCCCTGCGGACATCCTTTTGCAGCGGAGATGAAGAGTATATAGTCAGCTATGGTGGACTTAATAATCCTATCCTGTAGCATCCGATTAACCCATCTGCTAGTCGTCGCATCAATTCCTCGTTTAGGGAACGACTCACAGATGACATAATATGGGGTGTTGTCAAAAGCTCCCTCTATATCAAGGAAGCAGCCAACTGCCACCTCCCGTGGCACTTCCAGTGAGTTTTCAAGGACCCCCACCAGACTCTGCAAAGCGAGTACAGTAGACCTTCCCGACTGATAGGCGTACTGAGATTCATGCAAGGGATTGCTTCCCTTGCTTTCAATAGAAAAGAAGTAAGGCTGATTGGACGGAAAGACCTTGGGTGGTGGCTTGGTCGCTTACCCACCTTCGGAATATACGTCACTTTAGCCACCCTCCATGCCTGAGGGATGTAACCCCACGCATAGTTGGCACGAAAAATTTCCAACAGTGCTCTAGCGATATGTTGGAAACCCCTCTGCAAAAATGCAGGATATATCCCGTCATCACCTGGAGATTTGAAGGGCCTGAAAGAGAAAACAGCCCATCTAATCCTGCCCATCGTGAAGACCAGACGGGATCGTTGCCAGTCATCCCTCCTGGGCCAGGATGCCCTCGGTTCGATGACTGCATTTGTGTGATTCCGAAGAATCTCCGAGTCAGGAAAGTGCGTTGACGCCATAAGCTCCAACGTCTGCTTTCCGTTCTCAGTCATGGAGCCATCAGGACGTTCCATCAGGCCCAACCCGCTAGCATACTTTTTGGAAAGCACTCTGTTAAGATGCTCACTGCTGGGGAGTTCATCAATGCCCTTGCAGAATGCCCTCCACGAGATTCTCTTCGCTTTCCTAATTTCTTTATTGTATTTTGTGAGTGAGTCCCTATACTCTTCCCACGAACCTGACACCTTGGCCTTATTGAATAGCTTCCTGGTCTTTAGTCTAAGCCTTGAAAGCTCCTCATTCCACCACGGGCAATTCCTATTGCTCCGCCTCGGCTTAGCACGGCAGCTCCCGTGATAGGCATTAGTAATAGCCGCTGTCAGGGCCTCGCTGGCCAGTTCGATATCCATCACCGTTCTGACAGAAGCAGGAACGGATCCAATCCCATCCATGAGGAGCGTTTCGAATTGACTCCAATCTGTGGATTGGGGCACCCGATAAATTTCTTCTGCCAGGCCCCCGGAGACCATGATATCAAACCTAATCTGCCTGTGATCGGACATGGATGTCTCATTTGAGACATGCCATCCACCAACCCTACTGCCGATAAATTCAGTGCAAAGGGTGATGTCAAGGACCTCTTCCCTAATTGGATTTATGAATGTTGGCCTATTGCCCTCATTCATAATCATTAATTTATTGCTATATATAAATTCAAGTAGGCACTCACCTCTTTTGTTTATATTGCTGCTTCTCCAGACGGTGGGCATTGGCATCACTTCCTATTATAAGTTGGAAGTTCCTCCTTCCACAAAAGTCCACTAGATCCTTTAGTTGCTCGTCCGGGTGGGCACAGTCCCCCGGGAGGTAGGATGAGCACACAATGAACTCTGTCCAGCCCCCGCAGGACTTTACCTTCACCAACGCAGCTACTTGATCCTTAGAACAGTAATCTGGAATGGGAAAATACGTTAGCCTTTTACTAAACAAAATACAAGCCCTAGGCCTGCCCCCAGTTGTATTATCATACAATAGCACACCTGTTAGGCCCTTAACCTGATCCTTCACTATGTAAGGCTCTTGGATAAGGGCGATATCGAGGTGATCCTTCATAAATCTATGAGCTAGAATATCAGTAGATGCCCTAGCATGCTGTAGATTTATTTGGATGCACCTCACAGCCATATTATTTTCTCCGGCTCTTGTCTATGGGCTTTGGCCCTTTAAACAAAGGCTTTACATGAGCCTTACCTCCCATTGCCGCCAGGTGCCACGCTAGCCCCTTCAACAGCAAATACCGAAGCAGTTCCGGGCTTCCCAATGGGCTTGAGCCCTTTTGGTTCTCCCGGGACGCTTGTATTTGGCGTGCTGGTCGATGGTCCTTCCGTTTCCCTTGCCGCCATTTTCGGAGCGACTTCAGACTTTCCAATGAGTTTTGGCTCTTTTGGTTGGCCTGAAGTGCTCGTCGTTGTCGCGGTGGGCACTGGTTTTTTATTTTGTCCTGCCCTGCCGCCAGCACCTTGAGAGGATTTTCTTCCTTTGACCCGAACGGTAACACGGAAGAAATTCAGGAAAAGTCGGAACTCCGCTTTCCGTAGATCTTCCAATCCGGAATAATCCACGGAAAAGGTGATGGAGCAGCCCCCGTCCTTTTCCTTATCCATCCTCAGCACCCTCCAGGAACTTATCTTGAGGCCGGGATTTTGCTTCCCTATTCTACTTAGAAATTTGTCCCTAGAGAGACTAACGGTTGTCTCGTCCTTTGGTACGTAGGTGACGCAGACATGCTGTTTGGGCATGTCGTCGCCATCCAGTACCACGACATCGCAACCGTCCCAAGGCTTTATCTTCCTGCAGACACTGGTTATCCACTCCCTGGTGTTCTGATTGTTGCATGTTACGGATATCCATCCGTCCCTTTGCAACGCTGCAGTGAATTGTGGATGAGAGTCCACAACCCTATCCATTTCATCCATGATGGCTACTTTGATTTTCCCCATTTGGAATTTGACCTGTGCTACTGCTTCCCGATAAGAAGTCATTTTCGGGGTTTGTTGAGGAATGTTCCCAGGGACCTTTTCCTCAACATTGCCCTTCATCGACCTCTTCTTTGAGGGCCCTGCATCAGGGGCGTTGCTTTCCGACCTTTCCCTCTTTTGGGGATGGTCGGCCACAACACCCGATCCGCAGGCCTTCAGCTTTTCCAGCCTTTCCTTTTCATATCTGCGAGCTTCCTCTGGGGACATGCCATCCCTGATATAAGCCGCGATACGCCGCTTGGATGCACCAGAGAAATATTGTTTTTTTCCCCTGATGTCCAACCTTTTCAGGTCCTCTTCAGTTTTTTGGATAATAGGTCCAAGAGGATCCTGATTATCCGTCTCCATCGGAGGCGCCGCCTTTTCCTCTACTGGCGTGAGAAGGAGTTTCTCCTCTGCGTCAGTCAAGAGAAGCTCTGGTTCCGAAGACCCTTGAGCACTAAGTGGTTGTATGTAATTGTCACTGTTGTTATTGTTGTTGTTGTTGTTGTTGTTGTTGTTGTTGTTGTTGCGGTTTTCGTGTTTGTCACAGTTTTTCTTGTTGTTGTTGTTTTTGCTGTTATTGTTTAAATTGTTTTCCATTCTTGGTCCCACGAATAGCGCGGGAAAGTAAAGTCACCCATGGCATACCATGGGAAGGCTCGTTTAAACTGGAGGGCGCCTGGTATCCAGAGTCCGCATACTAACGACTAAGCTCCCCCTTAGCCACGCAGTCATCGGCATATGCTGTTCCACCTTGACTTGGGACGCCTGTCGTCAGCTGACGTATAGATATGGGGCTGAAACTCACAAAGCAAGAGGCTCGCCGCGAGACATGACCACGACACCAACGTAACTTTGATCGTTTCAATCACCCCTTTATCCTCCGCCATTACCGGGGCCCACCACTAGGAGGTGACAGTGCGGTTTTGGGCCCCGTGATACAACGTAATTCTACTTCGTATTTCTACTGTCACTGTCAAAATTTTGAATTAACTAATTTTAACTTTTTTCTTATTCAACTTATGAAAAAAATAGTTAGTAAAGTTTGTGTTGCTCCGAGAGTCAAAACCCAAATAATTTACTAAGTTTATTCAAACGCTATGAATTGCAAAACGGACGGGATACCCTTTTTCGCGTAATCTCTTAACATTTTTGTATCAAGTCCATTCAAATTCATTTTTAAGTCATAAGTCATTTCTCTTTTGTGAATTTTTGAAAATAAAATACAAATTTCTTTGTTCTTTTAAAACAAAAAACTTCACGATTTATTATCACAATAATTTTTTATCACATATTAGCAAACGATTTACAAATAATTTCCTTAATTAATAATCACAATATTATTTTATTATACTATATATATATATATATATATATATATATATAGAAAATAAAAAATTTAAATATTTGAACGTAACACATATGCACTTTCTTAAGTGGTTAATATAAGCGATCGAATTATCTTTGAACAACTTTTTTACGTGACCAGATATTTTAATATTAACTTTCGTGCATATAAGCACACATACTTGCTAGTTAGAAAATATTATAAATATTTTTTTTATATAATAAAAATTACAACATAGATACTCATAATACACGAGTATAATATATAAGTGGCTGATTTAATATAAAATAGAAAATTAAATGATAAAACACTTAATTTTATTCAAATATATTATGGAATTAATTTTTATTACCACTTTATACAGAATAATTTTCTAGCTCTAGTATATTTTGAAAAGATAAAAATTATCTTCAACAAATTGTATAAGTAATTATAATTACAAAAAAAGCATCTATAGTCGTTCAATCAGTTTCAGTTTATACTTGAAATTTGCAAAAATTTTCAATGTAAAAATAATTGGTTTTTAAGTATTAATAAAACTAATAGTAATTTCATTATTTGATTTTCAGAATTTTGGAATTATCAAGAGTTCATTATAAAATAAGGTAAGCAAATTTTAATTTATTTTATCTACAATATTACTAGGATATCAAATAATTAAACATTTTAACCTATAAAATTATTATTTTTTATTGCAATAAATCTCTTATGTGCTACAACAGTCACATAAGTGTAATAATACGATTTCTGAGTTTTTTTTACGGAAATAAGCACTTAAAACATTTCTTTTGAGTGCAAAAATGCCGAAAATAATCAAATTCACCAGACTTGTCAAAAATCAATCACTGCGAATGTCATTGTGAATAAACTGCATTATAATGGAAATAAATTTTAGAATTAAAGTTTATAAAATAATTTTTGTGCTTAATTTTATCTAATTCTAATTTCTTGTTGTTACTAAGTACTTGCTACTGTGCATTTATACAATACTTACATCCATATAAGAAAAAATTAAAAGTAATCTTAGTTAAAAGTGCTTATATATCGTACCTAACGTATATATATCGTATATAAAATATAGGAGTCAAATAGCTCTTATGTCATGTGAATGGTATTTATTTAAAATTTAAATAAATGATAAAATACAAGTATAGAATCGTAATAAGATATTCAGAAGATAAATTACGAGTAATAAAGACTAAATATAGGTGAGGCAAAATAACGAGAAAAGCTTTAAATTTCAACAAAAAACTAAATAGAAATATTTACTTAAAACATTTTTGTTTTTACTCTCGTTTTGCTATAAACTAAAAAAATATAAAGAAATTTTTTTTAAATCAAATTTTTTGTGTGGAAAAAAATGATTAATTTTCACAAAAAATCGCGTTTTTAATACGAAATCTTAAATTCAATAATTAGGAAAATTTTTTTCAAAAATTTGTTTTAAATAAAAAATTTTGACATTTTAGATGTCAAATAGAAGCAAATTATTTATAACAATTCCAAAATAAATGTCAAATTTCGTTTTTATATGTCAGTTTTTATTCGTGTTTTTTGTAATAAATTTCAAATACTATGCTACATTGCCATATAGTGTCAATTTTTGACAAAACCACATTAATAAACAATTAAGCTCTTTTCTTCCTTTATTTAGAACAATATGTGGTATATAACTGCATACAATATAGTTGGTAACATGACCGTACATGGGTGGCTACATTTGCTAATATTTTCCTGTTTCTTCTCTTAAGTTTTTTCGACCATACAGGAAAGGCTTACCAATAAAGTTTTTAAAATAGTTTTGCGGCAGGTGAATTTATACGTAACTCAATTTCAAATAAAACTCACAATCATCTCAAAATTTTGTCAAAGATGGTGTTCTCCGTAATCCTATAAGCTTTTAAGGAGGTTTGGAAAGGATTGAACTAGCTCCACATCTGCACTTGGATAAAAAATATACTGAGTTTAGTAATATATGTACATATGTATATGTATTTATGAAGTCTTTTATATAAAAATTTCCACAGCTTGCAATTAATTACGGTTAAGCTTACAATTAATAACCTACGAAGTTATCAAAAATTTTATTTTCCATTGATTTGAATTCTCATATTAATTTAAACCAAAAATTAAAACATAAAAATTTTATTTTTTAACAAAACAATTAATTTTATTTTTCCTATTTTTGTTTTAATACTCACCTATCTTAATAAAGTGAACTACACAAATATCACATGTAGTATACTTTACGTGTTATAACAACACGAATGACACTCCAAAAAAACAAAAAACAATGTGATCGAATAATTCAATTAAGAGTACAGGAAGTACGATTAATAAAATCTTAAAAATCATTACAATTGTGCCCGTAGATTATTGCCAATTTTTATTATTAAAATTGAAAATTTTAAACCTTGTTTTCAATATTATTTTATTTGAAATTCACTAGAAATATTTGGACATATTCGTGGATTTTAACAACAATTTACTATTTACATAGATTAGATTAAATTAGATTCATAGATTGGCAGAGATTCACTCAAGTAACCCTTAAGTAATTACAGAATCGTCTAAGCGTCACTTCCCACAAGTTCGAGGGTGCCACCATAGTATCCCCTCAAGAGAGTCGCCTTGTAACTAATGCTTCACAAATCTACACAAATGGTTCCCAGATTGCCCCAATTTGTGCAAATGATAACCAAAACCACCAGCTTGGCCTTCCCTCTTTTAGACACGAACAGGCTCGGCAGCCTTATTCTTGATGCCCCATCCCAGCACTATTGCTGAAGAGGGCTCATCCGTTCCGCCCATTATACGTTCATACGACAAAAATTGACTATATTATTTGTTTGCTTTCTTTCTTTGAGCTACTCCGAATTACGTTATTTGACCTTTTTTATCGTAAAATTTTTGTTTTTATCTTTTTGTTTTTAAATGCCATATGCGAAAGTTACTTATAATGTTTTCAATATACCCTAATTAAAAGCTATTGTTAATTGAAATTAGCTTGATAAAATTTATTTAACCTACAATCATCTGTACATATGCAGATTTTGCTATAAGTATTACCAAAAAAATTAATCATAATATGATAATTATTAATAAATAAATTAGAACAATAAAATATTTACTATATGTATAAGAATTATTTAAAAAAACTTTGACTTGTGGTTTTTGTTTACATAATTAAATAAATAATAAAATTATATTAATATTGTGATAATAGTTAAATTGAGTTTTAATTTATAATAATTAAGATAATTTTGCTTATGATAATTAATTGTTTATGTTGCTAATAACTTTAATACTCGTATATAAATAAGTACTAAACTCACTTTGTTGCGGGTTCTCTGGGTTATTACGGCTTAAACATAAATGAAAAAGCTGATGATTTCAATCGAAAGATGTATTAAAATATGTGTACTTACTGGGCACAGCCTCTCAATAAAATCTATTAAAAGACTATTGACTAAACGGAGAGGGAGGTCTGCCATATAAAATAAGGTGAAAAACGGTACTTTTTGGTGTAATGCGAGGTGGTGCTTGCTTACGACTGAAATTCTTTGGAAGGGGCTTGTGGCCTAAATGAAAATCTCAAGACTTAGTCTAACTATATTGTTGGAAATTGTCAGAAATAAATGGGATTTTTTCGAATTTGTAAACGTTGAATCAGTGCAGGTTGATCCGTCATTTTTCAACTGAGAGATTAACATCCAAACAATTATTTTTTCAAGATTCAAATTTAAAATGCTTATAATTGAGAAGACCAACAGCTATGAATGAAAAATTTTGAATTAATTAATTGAATACTTGAAATTTTTTAGATTTTCATGCCATTTTTGAACACCATATTTAATTTATATTGAAATAATTTTGGTTACTCATTTTGTACTCTCTATTATCTCAATAATAAGAACCGTATAAACTTTCACCCATAAATTTCTAAGAAAAAAAAAATGTAAAACCGATTAAAATCACTTTGGTAAATGAAATTTTCTAATGTTATTTATTTTAAAATTTTAAATAAAAACAAGACTCCATTTTTCTCATTATTTTATTCTCATATTTTTTTTTAATTGTTTAAAATTGAACCACCTTCAATATTTATTTTTTCTAATAAGTAAAATCAATATTTGTACAATGAATTCTTTTTTATTTTCTCTCTGTGCATTGAAGTAAGTCTGAGACATTTTATCATTTTTATTGTTTAAATACCTTTAAGGTAAATTAATAAAATTACCTTTTACCATATTTTCATTTTCATATTTCTGAAAATGTGTTAATTATTTAAAATTAAAAATATCACATGTGTGTGTGTGCCGTACTTATCTAATATAGAAAAAGGTCATGCAATAATGACTTTGTAACAAAAACAAAAATTTTCTTTTCTTTTTATTTTTTTTAAACAATGATAGCTTATTGTTTTGCTATAATTAGTTTATATTTGGGGAACACAATAACTCTATTAAAATATATCGCAGACTGTTTGTTAAACAAAATTTTCATTTGTTCAAAATAATTACGAGTGTATATTATGAGGTTTAAGTAAAAGTGAGAAAAAATCAGTGCGCGGATTATTATTGTTGATAAAATTCAAAAAAAAAACGAAGAAGAAAATTTTATTTTTTTTTAAATTAAATTCTCTTCTTTGTTTTTTATTAAGATTTAAGAAAAGAGCTTCTTAAAGAATTTTTAATAAGATTTTATATTTAAGAAATGGCGGAGAATACAAAACACTTTTAGAAATTTAGTAACGGAAATTTAGAAATGAGAATTTTTTTTAATACCATTCACTTAAACTTGATTTTTATTACTTACATTTGGGAATGAAAAGATAAGCTAGAGGAATAAATTTGTGATAAAAGTATGTGATCTAACAAAAATTATGTTTATTAGCAATTAAACAAAACATTTATTGACGCAATATCAAGTACAGGTTTTTTTTTAGAAATAAAGAACAGACATTTTTTTATACAACTGTGGAACAAATTGATCAAATGTTCAAGATATTGAATTAAGGTAGAAAATTTTAAATATATTTGCTTCTCGATTTTGGCTTGAATCAGAAAAACATCAGTTTCGCCAGTCCGCCTAGGACTGATCTACCACGTGATCCAAATAAGTATAAATAAATTATCGATAGTTTGTATTCTATTTATATTGGCATTGACTGTAAAAGTGAGAACATTGCGCATTTATCAATATTGATAAAATGTGAGACTATTGGTAGGTGCACTCACTCGACACTGCCTCTAGATAATCCATCTTCTTTACTCAGAAACCGACTTTCTACATACTTAAATATTTTCTTGAGTTTTCAGCACAATAAATTGTTAAAAGCTTATATTTTTATAAGACTTTTGCTTTGGAGAAATTATTTTTTCAAAGAAGCAGAATGCTTTTGTTTTTAGAAAAACCTTTCTAGATCTTAAAATGCTTTATTAGTTTATACAATCCATGTAATCTCTTTTTAAACGATTTTCTTAAAACTGCCTAAAACACTATCAAAGTTCACTTAGTTATTAAAAAATTAAAAAAATTACTTTCCTAATTTATTTCTTGTTTAAAAATAAGGGAGTGTAATCTTCAAAGAAAAAAAAACATT